AGACAGAGCATGAATGCGGGAGGGTCAGAGAGAGGGAGACTCTCTCTGGTGGAAAGTGATGGGTGCGTAAATCCTCCCAGGTGGTGCCCCAAATCATACCTGGCATATCCCCCATTATGTAGATAGCCAGTCTCCTTGATTGGCCAACATCCACACATCCTTCGTGATCTTCCAGACACTGCTTTCTTAAGATGCTGACGTTCTTATTCAGATTATCTTTCACTCCCGGTGCCAACCGCTTCACATTTTTCAGCTATTAGAGTCTTTTATGACAGTATTTTCTTTCTGATCTTGTAGTTTCTGGGTACTTCTTTTAATCCCTTTCACTATCATAATTGCCATTTCCAGATCTGGCTCTGCCTGACTTTGGATTATGCTGTGCTTATCTTGGTTGCCCTACCTGTCAGTCCCCAGGTGAACAGTGACCACAATCTTCTGAAGGAGCTGAGGCCCAGTCAAGGGTGGACAGACAGACGTATCTCTTATCTCGCTGTGGTTTCGTTTTTCTGCTTGTTTGCCCTGGTCTGAGCTTGTTTAGAGGAGTGCAGTGCATCTCAAGTCCCAGGGAGGTCTGGTCCGTTGCATGGTTTCTGAGAGACAGCTGGGCACTACCCAGGGTGCAGTCCCCCCTCCCTGTCACTGGAGTACTTCTTGTTCACATCTCCCTGTGCAGATGGATAAGGCAGACATTAATAATTCATGGTGGGTCTACAAGTGATGATGCTTCCTAGCCTGGGACTCCTTTGTCTTGGTGAAGACACCTTGGTGAAGAGGGACCTGATGGTGAGCTGGGAGGGAACTGGATTACTAGAATGATGAAGACAGACTGAAATTGGCCAACAGTCAGCAGCTCATTCACTTTGGGGTCTCTTTGTACAGATTGATGTTTGGACAGCGCACCCCCAGAAATACTATTTCTCTACCTTTATGTTCACGTGACTCTGTAGGACTCAGAGGTCCTGTTTGTGTTTGTCTTCATAATTAAGTTTATTTTCAACGCATGGCTGGTGCGTTGAAATCAGGATGCAGCGTGAAATACTCTTCCTGTCCTCTCTGGAGAGAAGAGGAAAGGAGTATTCTTTCTGTCTCTCGGTTATAGATAAAGTTGTGCCCAATAGTAATGGGACAGGAAGTGATAACTGGCGCCTCCTGTCTAATGTGGTGGGTAGCAGATGACTGCATGTGGGGAGTAGTGTTCCTTGTAAGGATTCTGGGGCCTTCAGTTACAGTGGTTCCAGCTGAAAAGCAATAGGGTTTCATTTGTTTTAAGTCATCTAAGCATTATTCTTCCTCAGGACTGACTCGGTTTGTCTGTTACACTGTATAATTATCATTGCTGTGTATATATTGAAGAGCATTTCACTTGCTTTGAAATGTAGTATTAAAATGACTTAAAACTGTCACCTCCTTAGTTTCAGTTTTAGGATGCAGTTCTTGCTAATTCCTTCTCTTCCTCTCTGATCCTAATAATTGAAGTCAGTAATTGCAAAACAAACAAACGAACACAAAAAAAACCACACACAAAAAACACAAAAAAAACCCAAACCGTGTTTTGGATATCACTTTTCTTCAGGATAGTTGTTGGTTTCAGTATCTCACTATTTCACTAATAACTATTTTCATAGCATAATTTTAACATGTAGTCTTTGAATATTATAAATTCTAAAAGATTAAAGAAGAAAATTGGGAAAGGGATTAAAAGAGCTCATGAAACTCTGCTGCCCTTGTAATCTGATTATAAGAACTCTACGTATAGAGTTTCAACTGCAAAATTGTTCCAGATTTCCTTTCTTTTTCCTAATGTAGCTTATTAGTTTTTAGTCATATTATGTATAAATAAATAATTATTCTTTATCATAGAAGTGAAATCATTTCTTAGCTCCACAGAGCACACTTTTCTTTGAGGGGTCGGGGAGGGGCAGAGAGAAAGGGAGAAAGAATCTTAAGCAGGCTCCACACTCAGCACAGAGCCTGGCGTGAGGCTCAATCCCATGACCCTGGGATCATTACCTGAGCCGCAATCAGGAGTTGAATGCTTAACTGACTGAGCCACCCACATGCCCCCGACAGAGCACACTTCTAGTGTTAGTCAGACTCTGTTTACTTTCTAATGGATGCAGTAAAGATAAGTACTTTATTCATAGATTCCATGTGTAAATCTAAAGCTCTGTGAACTAAATTTCTTATCAAGTAACACTTTGGTTTTCCGTTTCCATTAACAAGTCTCTTTAGAAAATCCGAAGTTATGGGAAAACTATTGCTACTTCTTATTTTGCTAAAACTAGTAATGTGTCTTATCTAGGCTTTTCTTAAACTCATGATGAGTAAGAGGAAGCCAGGCTCAGTTAGTATTTAGCACCGATGGCCTGTCACAGAAAGGTCTGTGCAGAAATAGGATTGGTGTGTGGAGAGAAACGTAGAGATAAATGCAGTGAGTCTCTTGTGTAGTTAATAATAAAATTTCATTGTTGAACCCTGACCTGAAAGACCTGTTTTCTTTAGTTTAATCAAGAAATAAAACGAGTTCCTCTAAGAGAAGAACCTATATTAGCTATTTTGTAACACAGAGTGTATTTTTTTTTCCTCTTTTTCTGTTCTAAACTTTGAAATCAGTGAGCTTGGAGAAAATAAAATCTGTTTTTCAAGGTCCTGCAGAATATGTTTGTAAATATATTTTCATCCATGGCTGGTAATGAAAAGATAGTTGTTTTGTTGCTCTCTTAGAGTTCACATATAGGTGGCAAAGATTAGGAGCTTTTCTGCTGAGGCCACAAGAAGAAACAGATCTAAGTTGTCAAAGAAGAGCCTAGATCAGAAGAGTAAGAATGTCATTGACTATCATTGTTATGAGTTGCTCCTTCTTAGGGAACGTACCATCTCCTCTAAGGATCTGGTTTTTTTTTTTTTTTTTTTTTTTTCAATGTAGTTAAGTTTTTTAAGTTTATTTATTTATTTTTGAGAGTATGCACCAGAGACCATGAGTAGGGGAGGGGCAGAGAGAGGGAGAGAGAGAATCCCAAGCACACTCCGTTCTCACAAACTGGGAGAACCTGAGCCGGAATCAAGAGTCGGATGCTTAACTGACTGAGCCACCAAGGTGCTCCTCTCCTCCGAAGACCTTGAGGATTGTTTAGATGCAACCTATCTGAAATAGATAATAGATGTAGGTGAATTTGCATGGGAATCCATCTTTTTCTAACATAAATTTTCATATTAGATATATGTAGATGTTTGGTAAATCAATGAGTGAATTAAAAAATAATTTTCAAATACAAATGTCAGAATATGAAAATGGTGACAGCAATCGGGGTCCCAGCTCTAACGTACAAGGAGCACTTGTTGTTACAGTTAAAGGTTTCTAGATTGGAACCAGTGAATTGAATCGTAAGAGATTAGCAGAAACAACAAGTTTAAATGGAGAAAGCACATGGACCTTAATTAGTGAAATTGCCAATCGATTGCCTGGTTCTCCAGTTGTTCTACTGTAAAAATATCCATAAAGTAGGATAGGATTATTATTAATGCCATCACTAGTGTCATTAATATAGGTCTTTGAAAAAAAAATTTTTAATGTTTATTTTTGAGACAGAGAGAGCACGTGTGTGAGCGAGCCGGGGAGGGGCAGAGAGAGAGGGAGACCCAGAATCCAAAGCAGGCTCCAGGCTCTGTGCTGACAGCACAGAACCTGATGTGGGGCTCAAACCCACAAACTGTGAGATCATGACCTGAGCTGAAGTTGGACGCCTCACCAACTGAGCCACCCAGGCACCCCAGTATAGGTCTGTTTTCAATGTAAGTCTTGGATCCTTTGCTGAAAATGCTTTCGGGTAGGTATTTCACTGCCTAATTACTTTAGTTACCTGTTGCTGAGTAGCAAACCACTGTAAGGCCTGATGGCCGGCAGCAACAACTGGAGGCATTTGGGTATCTCTCGGATCTGTGAGTTGACTGGACTCAGCTGGGCATTTCTTCTGGTCTCTTTTGTGCCATTGCAGTTACATGGCCTCTGGGGCTGGAGTCATGTAGAGGCCCTGCTGGGGTCAGCGGGGTCAGGCTCCTCTCCTTCCCTGTATAGTCTCAGAGCCTCTCCTTTCCACATGGCCTCTCCACAATCTCTCCATCAGGCTGACTTCCTACTTAGTGGCTTACGGATTCCAAGTGGGAGGAAACAGAAGCTACCAGACATTTCAGAAATGAAGCCTGGTCTGGCCTTGTGTCACTTCTGAATTCCATTGGCAAGTGCAGGTCACTGACTTACTCTGTTACAGCCTGGAGGGGGCAAGGGCATGAGGCTAGATTTGTGGGAGGCTATTTGTAGAGATGAACTACTACAGTAGTATGCCTTCAGATACTTTGTTTCAGACTGTAATGTTAAGTATGTGCTAATGAGCTGAAGCTCCAATTCTAGGGGTGTTGAGGTTCACTAAGCGAGACTTTCCGCAAGTATGTGGTCAGCAAGCAGGGCAGAAGAAGGACTGTACTGCAGAGGCTGGTACTATGAGCACATCACCTATTTCAGTCTTGACCAAAATGCGGCCGGGTAGTCAACTGTCTCCTGTTTGGGGAGGGACATCTGGCTCACAGGGCAACTGGGCTTCCCTGGGCAGGAACTTGGTGTGGAGTCCCTCTTGCCGGTTCTGCCCACCCACCCCAGTGTCTCCAGGAGGGGAGGGGGGAGCACTTTCTGGGGTGGGGTTAGTGCTTGGAGGGTGGGGAAGAGCTCTCTCCCATTATCCTCTTTGGCGATAGAGCTATACTTAGTGAATATCCACCACCGAGATGTCAGGGACCTTAGAGATCATCAGGTCTAACCTCTGACCCATGAACTTCATCTCCATCTTCCTCTAGCACTGTCTTCAGTAGGCTAGAAACAAAACTCTGCTTTTTTTTCCATGAAGTACGACAAACAATTGCTTCTTTAGAAACCGTCTTTTTGGGTAAGTGTGCATGGTGGCATGCAGACTTCCCAGGTCCTGATTCTCACCTGGCTGTTGTTGCAGAACGTGCAAATAGAAGCATTCACCAACTGAAATGTGCCCTGAGAGAAGGTGATGTCACCGTTGGAGAAGATGCTGCGGGTCCCAGTGTGGAAAATGAGGAAAATGAGGAAAATGAGGACGCTGGGACTGCCTGGCATGAACTGCGACACAGCCATGCCGGTGAGTGTGGATGGATAACAGCCCTGGTCTGAATGACACACAGAGAATATTCTACACCCCGTACAGTAAGAACTCCAGTCCACCCTCTGCTCTACTGCTAGGCTTTTCTTCCTCAGACACAAACCAACTACTATAATCCTCTTGCTGAATATTTTGTTAATGTTTATTTATTTTTGAGGCAGAGTGCCAGTGGGGAAGGGCAGAGAGAGAGGGAGACACAGAATCCGAAGTAGGCTCCAGGCTCTGAGCTGTCAGCACTGAGCCTGATGCAGGGCTCAAACCCACAAACTGTGAGATCATGACCTGAGCCGAAGTCAGACACTTAACTGACTGAGCCATGCAGGCGCTCCTTAATATTTTTCCTTTGACTTCGTGATGCCTATAGGCTGAAGTCCCAATTCCTTTGTGTGTCTTAGCAATATTTTCTTAAGAGGCTCCAAGATACCTCTTCAGCCTCATTTTTCTGTCCTCCTCCCAGCCACCCATCTTGCAAGGCATGTTCTAGTGCATACCAACCTACTGGCCCTGCTTCTATGCTCTTGCATATGCCACGCCCTCCAAGTGGGATTTTTCGGACCCTTTTCTGCTTGGTAATCTTCTGTTCATCCTTCACAGTGTTAGCTCCTCCATAAAAACAGGCATGATTGGGGCGCCGGGGTGGCTCAGTCGGTTGAGTGTCCGGCTTCGGTTCAGGTCATGATCTCGTGGTTTGTGGGTTCGAGCCCCAGGTCGGGCTCTGTATTGACAGCTCAGAGCCTGGAGCCTGCTTCAGATTCTGTGTCCCCCTCTCTCTCCGCCCCACCCCTGCTTGTGCTCTGTCTCTCTCTGTCTTTCAAAAATGGATAAACATAAAAACAAATTAAAAAAAAAACAGGCATGATTAGGTGCTTCCTCTTCTTACAGCACTACGTGTAGCTGCTGCTCTACATGTGAACTTACTATATCGTCTTATATCTGTCACTGGATCTCTCTTGCTCGGTGGATTCTTAGCTCTTAAGTGGTAGAGATTTTCTCATGTTTGCCTTTGGATCCCCAGTCCATGGCACAGTTCTTGATGCCTAGAACATGTTTAAACAATATTTGTTACGTGGATGGAAGCATGGATGGGTGACGATAAGCCCCTGCAGTAAGGCTGATGAAACCATTGTGTTTGCTCTCCAGTTAATCAGCTCAAAGCTTTGTTGCGCCAACAAGCAACTAAGGAAAGTGAGGTGTCTCCATCAAGAAGGCGAAAAGTGTCCCCTCTGGTAAGTATCAACGTCTGCAACCTGACAGGAGCATTGTCTCTGTGTTTTAACTCCACAATGTCGTTTCAGTAGTACATTTTGTCGATAGATTCTGAGCAAGACATTCTAATAATGTAAAGCATTGAAAGGAATTATCTTTCCTCTGATTATTTTGGCTGAAGAAGAGGCAGAGGGAATCCTGAGTTTTAAATCTATTGTGTGCTTGAAACATGTAAGTGAGGAAACAGTTTGGAAAATTTACTTTGCAACTGTTAGCAAATATAAAAAAGGAACAATATATGGAAAAGAATTGCCTTTTCCATAGGCTTCCATTGCCTTTTCAACAGGTTCCTATTGATATCCTATCATTTTTAGAATTTACTTAATTGTATATCTAGCTGTCCTTTGTAATATTTGTCTATTTTGAATGTCAAAGCCAAAGTATGCAATCTTATTCTGCATTTTTAATTCATGCATTAAAATACATGGTTATAAAATTGCACAAAATGAGAAGCTATATTCTATTTTTGTTTGAAGTTGTTTTTTGCTATTGCTTTAGCAGAGTGAATTATTCCTGATTGAGGCAGTATGATACACTAAAGCCTGGGATAGATGTGAGGGAGGGAGAGGATTTGGCCAGATTTAAATGGCCAAAATAACAGTCTAGCCTTTAGGTGTATCTAAGGCCTACTGTGTACTTTCTAGAAGGATATTGTGTCTCCCAGGGTTTCTGTAACAATAAGATAAGAGTATATATACTTAAAATTCTTTATGAACCTGTGAAGTGTGACACAAATAGAACATGTCATAGTAGCAATAACTACCTTGCATTTTCAGTGTGTGTGACAGTTAGATACCAAGGCTATTTGCTAGAAACCATGGAGACATGTCACTTTATCTACTCACAGCCGAAATGTCATAACCGTACCCCTATATTAACACTTCATTCCAGCCTGACACATACCTTCCTGCTTAATTCCCACTCTGGAGAAATGTACTACATATGCCTATTCAATATTTACGGCTCTCAATTATAATTTTAATACAACATTTCACCATTAAGTAAATGTATTACTGTTGCCACCTAGCTTCTAGAATGCTCTTCAGTAGACAGGGTGGGGTACTTTCAAGTCTAGTAGATGAAGTTGCTGTATCTGTTGAATGCTCAGACACGCTGATTAGCATTTTAAAGCTACAAAGCAGCAGCAGGATTGAACCTGGAGAGTGGGAGGAGCCTCATTAAGAGTATCATCAGAGCAGTATGTGCAGCATGTACATTACAGATGCACAGGTCTGTGTACATGGAGCCACGTGGAAGGATGCAGCTCACGTTCGGAATGTATACAGCCCACGTAGAAGGATTACAAGCCACAGTAATAATAAGCAGCTTTTGAAGGTTTAGATCCACTTTTATTTGTGAAGTTTATTTATCTATTTGGAGAGAGGCAGAGAGAGTGCGAGCGGGGGTAGGGACAGAGAAAGAGGGAGAATCCCAAGTAGGCTCTGCATGGTCAGCGCAGAGCCCAGTGAGGGGCTCAAACTCACGAAACCGTGAGATCATGATCTGGGCCGGAATCAAGAGTTGGACGTTTAACCGACTAAGGCCCCCAGGTGCCCCTAGATGCACTTTCATAGCCCATATGCCGTACTGGAAATAAGGGGCTGTATGGACAGTGAAATCGAGACATGGTTGAGAAGGATTTTATGGCTTTTTGAAATGTGGATATCCAGACTATGATAAATCCTTCAAAATATATACAGGTGATTATATTTTCCACAGAGTATTAGCTTGTGTTTTTTTTTTGTTTGTTTGTTTTATTTTGTTTTATTTTTACACAGACTGTCCTTTATGTGCCCAGAGTGATGTTTAATTCTTATTTGCCATATTCTGGACCCATTTCTATTAATATACCTTTACTATAATGAATTGCTTTCTATTCACAACAGATCATCCATTTAATTAAAGTTATTTTGATTTTTAAATTTCTTAAATGTTCCAAGAAGCAAAACTCTACTTAATTATTCTGCCGTGAGAGCTGGTACTTTGTTGTCATCAGGAATTTCTGCCAGACTGAGAAATAGTGACTGGGTGTCTGATCTCAAGCTTTCTCTGGGTTCATCTATCTGGTTGACACTCATTTTCCCTTCCTGACTTCTTTTCTTTACAAAATGTCATGGAATGATAAATGATTCTAGAAACCATTTTACAATCATTCAAGGAGAAAGTAGGATATATATGATATTAAAGTCAATTCAGGAATGCTGCAGGAGTTCGCAGGAAGTCTCTTCTCTGGACTCCGGTGCAAGGGAACTCTTGAGTTTTCTCCAGTGTCTGCTTTAGCACTCTAGTTTTGGAGGCTCTGTGCCCCAGACCAGCAGGGTGTCCAATTGCCTTGAGTCAAAACTCAGAAGCCACGTTTGGCTAATGTACTGCTTTGTAGAATTTTACCTCATTGACCCACCTGGCGGCAAATGCTTGTCTGAAGAATCCCTTCTTCCGGCAACTGTTCAGTTTTAGGCAGCAGTGCTCTTGCATGGCAGTTTCTTGAAGGGAGCTGTCCTTTTATCTCAGCATTACTGAATGGGACGTCCCAATTCCAGATGGCTCTAATGGGCAGTTTTTCCCAAGCCAATTAGACTAGTCCAGCATTCTTCCACTTGCCACTCTTTTTGTAAACACTTCCACTTTCCATCTTTAACACAATATTGGTATCCTTGAATCTTATCTATGTGAAATTTATAGGATAGAGAAATGAACACTATTAGCCACATTGTGATCTCCTCAATGTTTATATGACATCAGTACTAAATTGAGTATGGAGGCAGTATTACCTGACTCTCTGCTAAATCCAAACATGCTTAGTTTTTTTCTTCTTTTTTTTTTTTGGTTTTGCTCTTTTTTTTTTTTTTTTCCAACGTTTATTTATTTTTGGGATAGAGAGAGACAGAGCATGAACGGGGGAGGGGCAGAGAGAGAGGGAGACACAGAATCAGAAACAGGCTCCAGGCTCTGAGCCTCAGCCAGAGCCTGTACTTGGGGCACCGAGCTTCCCACGGACAGCGGATGACCTGGCTGAAGTCGGACGCTTAACCGACTGCGCCACCCAGGCGCCCCTCAAACATGCTTAGTTTTTGTTTGTTTCTTGCCTTAGCTGGCGTCAGAAGATGAGGAAGCCAACGTGCCTACCATCCACAATCTTGTTCCGATCATCAATGACCAGTCTCAGTACATTCATCATTTAGAGGCAGAAGTCAAGTTCTGCAAGGTAAGTTTCTCATTAAAAATTTAAATGTAACTACATTAAAGTTTATATTAATGATACCTTATGTGAAAATTTGCTATTATTCGTCTTTATGTGTATTGCGATACATTTGACAATTATCACCGTTCCATGATTGAGGAGGCTGATGTGTTACAGGAGCTTCCCAAGCCGGGGAATGATTCTCCTGACCATGCCATTTATGATTGCTTAATTTCCCAGCCCATAACTATGTCTGATATTTTGATAATATGCTCTCACGTTTCAGAGTTTTTGCTTTCCACCCCATGTTCTTTAGCCCAGCTGATGGCACATGCTTGGGACAGTACAACTGGTCGGTCATCTTCCCACCTTGTCAGCCTACTGAGCACTGGTGCAGAAGCAGGAACTATAAACTGCAGACCAAGTCTATTCCATTGTCAGGGTGAAGGTTGTTCCCTTAGCTTTGAATAAGGATGGCTCGTGGTCGTACTGATAGCAATGATTGAGAAACCAAATGTGTCCACTACGGCTTAAAACACCAGATGGTTCTATTGCTCAACTGCATGCAGTTTAGTAGTGTCACTAATGCCATTGGAGCTTTTCTGCCTTTCCAAACTAGGTTAGCATTTTAGTTTTTCTTTTTTTTTTTATTCATTACCAATGCATCTTGTATTATATATATAATTTTTAAATGTTTATTTATTTACTTAGAGAGAGAGAGTGCACCAGCATTGGGGACAGGCAGACAGAGAGGAGAGAGAGAGAGAGAGAGAGAGAGAGAGAGTGAGTGAGAGAGAGAGAGAGTGAGTCCCAAGCAGGCTCCATGCTGTCAGTGCAGAGCCTGGTGCAGGGCTCAGTCTCACAAACCATGAGATCATGACCTGAGCCAAAATCAAGAGCCAGATGCTTAACCGACTGAGCCATCCAGGAGCCCCTCGTGTATTATTTTTTTTACATTCTGGTTACTCTTCCAAGGTGCAAGTTGATATGTGCCTTCAGAAACCTTTAAACATTTCATTGTCTTGACTTTACAAAGACGTTCCTGATTTTAGCAGATACAGTCATCATTGCACAGTGTTCTTGGATTACCAGAAAGGCTAAAATAATGTCCTAGGACTCATTCCAGTAATAAGCTCCTGTTAATCACTCAGATGCTGTGGGTAAAACTTAAAAAATATTGTAGTGGAGATAAAACTTCATCTCTACCCTCTTAGAGTTTACAGCTGGGACTTAGACTTAAATTAACATAAGGCAGATTAACAGGATGAAAGTATACACATTTGTTTTTATTGTTATTGAAGTATAACTGACATACAATATTATATTATTTTCAGGTGTACAACATATTGATTGAATACTTCCATATATTCAGTGCTCAACACAATAAGTGTAGTGACCATCTGTCACAATAAAACATTATTATAATATTATTGACTGTATTCTTTGAGCTATACTTTTCATATCTGTGACTTACTTATTTTATAACTGAAAGTTTATACCTCTTAATTCCCATTATCTACTTCATTCATCCCCCTACCCACCTCTCCTCTGACAACCACCTCTCTGTATTTAAGAGGCTGTTGGTTTGTTTCTTTATTTTGTTTTTTAGATTCCATGTATAAGTGAAATCATATGGTATTTGTCTTCCTCTGTCTGATTTATTTCACTTAGCATGATACCCTCTAGGTTCATCCATGTGGTCACAAATGCAAGATCTCATTCTTTTTTGTGGCTAAGTAATATTTTATGGCTAAGTAATATATATATATATATGTATATATATATATATATGTATGTATATATGTGTGTGTATGTACACATGCATATGTATGTATACACATACACACACGCACACACAGCCTGCACATCTTCTTTATCCATTCATATATCAATGCACACACTTGGTTGCTTCCATATCTTGGCTATTGTAAATACTGCTGCAGTAAACAGAGATGTGCATATATCTTTTTGGATTTGTGTCAGTTTTGGGGGCAGATACCCAGCAGTGGAATTACTGGATCATATGGTATTTCTAATATTAATGTTTTGGGGAATCTCCATGCTGTCTTCCACAGTGACTACACCAATTTACATTCCCACCAACAGCGCATGAAGGTTCCCGCTTCTCCACATCCTCATCAACACTTGCTGATTCTTGTCTCTTTGATACTATCCATTCTGACTGGTGTGACGTGATATCTCATTATGGTTTTGATTTTTTTCCCCCGATGATCAGTGATGTTGAGCATCATTTCATGTGTCTATTGGCCATCTGTATGTCTTTGGAGAAATGTCTATTCAGGCCCTTTGCCTATTTTTAAATCAGGTTATTTATTTTGATGTTGAGTAGTGTAAGTTCTTTATAAATTTTGGATATTAACCACTTACCAGATATATCATTTGCACATCTCTTCTCCCGTTCTCTAGGTTTCCTTTTTGTTTTGTTGGTAATTTCCTTTGCTGTGCAAAAGCTTTTTATTTTGGTGTAGTCCCAATAGTTTATTTTTGCTTTTGTTTCCCTTGCCTGAGGAGACATATCCATAAACGTGTTGCTAATAAAAGAGATTACTGCCTATGTTTTATTTTTTAGAAATTTTATGGTTTAAGGTTTCACATTCAGGTATTTAATCCATTTTGAGTTTATTTTTGTGTATGGTATAGGAATGTGGTCCATTTTCATTTTTTTCATGTAGCTGTCCAGTTTTCCTAACACCATTTATTGACAAGACGTCATTTCCCTGTTGTATATTCTTGCCTCTTTTGTCATAGATTAAGTGACCGTATAGGTGTGTTTATTTCTGGGCTCTCTATTCTGTTCCATTGTTCTATGTGTCTGTTTTTGTGCCAGTACCATACTATTTTGACTACTATAGCTTTGTAGAACTTCTTGAAATCTGGGATTGTGATACCTCCAGCTTTGTTCTTCTTTCTCAAGATTACTTTGGCAATGCGGGGTCTTTTGTGGTTCTGTACAAATGTTAGGATTATTTATTCTAGTTCTGTGGAAAATGATATTAGTATTTTGATAGAGATTGCTTTGAATATGTAGGTTGCCTTAGGTAGCATGGACATTTTAACGATATTTATTCTTCAAATCCATAAGCATGGTATAGCTTTTCTATTTGTATCTTTTTCAGTTTCTTTTATCAGTGTCTTATAGTTTTCAGAGTATAGATCTTTCATCTCCTTGGTTTAACTTATTTCTAGGTATTTTATTCCTTTTGGTGCAATTGTAAATGGGATTGTTTCAGTAGTAGAAGTTTTATGTAACATGGGAGACCTCATAAGGAAATGATGTCTGAAAGAAATGGCAAAACCTAAATGCTTTTATACGTTGAACAAAGAGAGGCAGTGTGGAAACATAACTAAAATATATGGGGAGGTTAAAGGAAGATGAGTTATTTTTATGAGGTCTGTTTGCACAGATGCCTCTCAGCCTCCACTCCCTGTCTCTGGTGATAAGAATGTTTCTTTCCTCCTGATACGGGGAGGCCATCTTTCACATGGGAGTTTTATCTCCTGCTTTCAGGAAAAAAAGGGGAAGTCAGAGCACTCTTTTTGTATTTGCTGTTTTTCAAGTGTCTTTAGCTCAAAATAATTCTTATTCCAAAGTGGCATATTTTGGGGTGGCAGATTTTGCCACCCTTCAATATAAATTGTAATAAATTTACCATCTGGTCAAGAAGAGAGTACTAATGTCTATGAGCACCATAGCAACATTATAGAGAGTATAATGTAGTCTGTATTCTGTAATATAAACTGTAATTATAATAAGAGTAGAAAGGTACTAAAAGCTGGAGTTTTGGGAGATATTTTTCTGGGAGAGAGCAATCTTAAAAGAGTAAGATCATTTAGATCAGCAGAAGTGGGGTGAAAGAGTTCCATAGAGAGAACAGCAACACTGAAAGGATATACTCAGGATGAATAGGGTTTATTTATGGGGGCCATGAGGCATCTATTCTAAATTTCTGCAGTAGAGGATTCTGTTAGAAATTATTAAAACTATGCTGAGCTGGGAAAATGGAAGATTACAAAAGCCTTGAAAGGTAGACGGAGTACGCATTTGGTATGTTTTAACAAGAGAGTAACAGAATAAAAGTAACATTTAAGGGCTTAGAGATATTTTATTAATTTTTACAATTTTTTATTTAATAATAATTAATTTTTATATCCTTTTAAATGTATTTTTTAAAGATTTTATGTATTTTCTTTTTCTTTTTTTAAATTTTATTTTAAGTAAACTCCATGCCACACTTGGGGCTTGAATACACAACCAAGAGATCAAGACTCATAAGTTCTACCAACTGAGCCAGCCAGGGACCCCTAAGTTTTTACTTAAATTCTAGTTAGTTAACATATAGTGTATTAGTTTCAGGTGTACAATATTGTGATTCAACCCTTCCATACAATACCCAGTGCTCATCACAAGTGTACTCGTTAATCCTCATCACCTATCTACTAACCCATCCCTCCCTCCCCGCACTGACCTCCTCTCTCTCTGGTAACCATCAGTTTGTTCAGTATAGCTAAGAATCTGTTTCTTGGTTTGCCTCTCTCTTTTTTTTTTTCCTTTGCTCATTTTTTTTGTTCTTAACTTCCACATATGAGTGAAATCATATGGTATTTGTCTTTCTCTGAGTGACTTATTTCCCATAGCATAATACTCTGTAGCCATAGCATAATACTCTGTAGCTCCATCCATGTCATTGCAAATGGCAAGATTTCAATCTTTTTTATGGCTGGGTGATATTCCATCATGTATCTATACCATGCATTTATCCATCCGTCGATGGATACTTGGGCTCTTTGTATAATTTGGCTCTTGTAGATAATGCTTCTATAGACTTTGGGGTGCATGTATCCGTTTGAATTGGTATTTTTGTATTCTTTGTATAAATAGTTACTAATGCAACTGCTGGAACTAGGGTAGTTCTATATTTAACTTTTTGAGGAACCTCCATTCTGTTTTCCAGAGTGGCTACACCAGTTACATTCCCCCCAACAGTGCAAGAGCGTTCCCCTTT